ATCCTGCCCAGTGTCACAGCAGCACTCAAGCCCACACTGACAGGTGGCTGTGCCCATGTGCACTGGCCGGGAACTGAACCTGTATCTCCCGCAGGGGAGCTGGAGGAGAGGATTCTGCCGCTGGCCGCTGAGCCACCACTGCCCTCATGTGTGAGGTCGTAGTTAACGCTTCTCTCCGTCCTGCTGGGTACTATCCCATTCACCACTGAATGGACATTGTGTTTCCATGTTTGGGCTACTTAGTGACCTTGGGTTATGAGTCTGCATGTGAAGGAAACTCTGGGTGCTGTGGCCAGTGTACGATGGCATCACAAGGAGCTGCCACGCTGACTTCCAGAGCCCTCTCTGAGGATCCCTGATCCTTGTGCTGGTGAGTGCTGGCCATTGGCAGTCCATATTTACAGCCCCCTTAGTGTCTCCAGTGTTTGTTGTCTCGGCGTGCGGGTTTTACTACTGTTGCTGTCGAGTGTCTTTTCATGGGCTTATTTCCCGTTTGTATCTGCTTTCTGGAGGAGTAACCGTGTAGATCTTTTGCATGTTTTTAATTGGGTGATTTTATCTTCTTGTTGGATTGTGAGTTGTTATGTACCATCGAGTTGGTGCTGACTCATAGCGACCCTCTGTGCAACAGAACAATACACCGCCTGGTCCTGTGCCAACCTCACCATCGTTGCTACGTTTGAGCCCATTGCTGCTGCCACTGTGCCAATCCATCTCTTTGGGGGTCTTCCTCTTTTTCTCCGATCCTTCACTTTACCAAACATGATATCCTTCTCCAGTGACAGGTCCCTCCTGATAGTATGTCTGAAGTGTGAGATGGAGTCTGGTCATCCTAGCTTCTAAGGAACATTCTGGCTGTACTGCTTGCAACATAGATTGGTTTGTTCTTCTGGCAGTCCATGGTACTGCCAGAATATTCTCCTCTAAGATGATAATTCAAATGCATCAGTTCTTCTACAGTCTTCCTTACTCATTGTTCAATATTAACATGCATATGAGGTTATTGACAATATCATGGCGTGAGTCAAGTGCCCCTTAGTCTCTGAACCTACATCTTTGCTCTTGAGCACTTTAAGGAGGTCTTGTGCAGCAGCTGTGCCTAATGCAGTACCTCGTTTGATTAATTGGATTGTGAGAGGTTTTTATATATTCTATAGACTAACTCTTTGTATGCATTTTGCAAATATTTCCTCATAGTGCGTGTGAGTCGGAACCAAATCAAAAGGATTTAACAAACAACCGCAGTGTGTGACCTGCCTTTCTGTTACAGAGCAATTTTGTTCTTTTGAGCCAAAGTTTTCAGTTTTAATTAAGCCCAATTTATGAATTATTAAATGATCTGTCCTTTGCATGTTCTTCTCACGAAGCTTTTGCTATCTGAAGTTTATTGTTAAGTGCCATGGAGTTGGTTCTGACTCACAGTGACCCTGTGTAGGGTTTCCGAGTAGCTGTTGGTGGGTTTAACTTCTGTCTAGTGCTTGTCCTTCAGTAGAGCTGTAAAGATTATATATACATAATCTTTATAAAGATATATATATATTTTTTGTTGTTGTTTGTTTGTTTCCTTGTAGATGCCTGAGTTCTAGCTTTTCTCAGTGTGTGTGTCACGGCTTTGGGCTAAGTGCTGTACTGGCTGTGGAGAAAGGGGTTAGGTTCTTTGCATGCATATTCCAGTTGCCCCAGTGCTCAGTATTGAAAAGATGAGGTTTTCCTCATGACTATCTTGGTACCTTTTTCAGAAACCAGTTGACCCTGTATGTGGCTCTACTTGTGGACTCTGTATTCAACACCACACCAATATCTATCCTTTTGTCTGTCTTGATAATGGAAGAAGCTTTATAGTAAGTCATTAGATTAGGTAGTAGAAGTCCTTCAACTTTACTCTTTTTCAAAAGTGTTTTGGGTATTCTAGATCCTTTGCCTTTCCATCACAGATACCAGCGTTGGTTTGTCAGGTTTAATTGATGCGGTTTAATTTAGTTCCGGGTTTGAATTAAGTATAGTGCCAGTTAAGATTGACCAAACTTACCCTTGGGGATCAGCTTTTAGTTGCATAATAGATAGGCCTATAAAGTGAGCAAGGACACAGGAGGAGGACACAACTCGTGAGAACACTCAGCCACACCAGACCCCATGGGCAGGATTTGCCCCCAAACAATGCTCAGAAATCAAGAAGGGAAAGCAGAGGAGACTTAAGGAAAATGGGGAACCCCAGAGGAAGGGGGAGAGTGCTGTTAATGTTGTGAGGATTGCAGCCGATGTCAGAAAACACATATAAATCATTGAATGGCAAATTTCATTGGTTCTTTAAACTGCCACCCAAACTGCAATAAAAAGTTTTAAAATTTGTGTTATTTTGAGTCTGTAGATCAGTTTTAGAAGAAATAACACCTTAGCACTATCGACTCTTTTAGTCCATCAGGATGGAATAGCTCTTCATTTGTTTAGCTCTCTCCAATGTATTCTCAACCTTCTTGGGTAGTCTTCAATCTTACAGGCACTGCAGAATTTACTGAAAAATTTCCAAAGTATTTTACATCTTGTTGCTTTAAAAGATTTCAGTATCTAATTATTCATTTATCGTATAAGGAAAGTCAATTGATTTTTGCATATTGACCTTGTATCCTCTTGGTAGATTACTTAGGATTCTGTACATAGACAGTCATTAGCTGCAAACACTATTTCTTTCTTGCCCATCTCTGTGTCTTTTATTCCTTATTTTTTCTTTATTGCATTGACTAGGACCTCCAGTAATGGTGAATTCTTGTTCTTGTTATGTGCTGTGGAGTCGGTTCTGACCCATAGCGACCCGTACAGGGTTTCCGAGGCTGTAAATCTTTACGGGAGCAGAAAGCCTCATCTTTCTCCCGCGGAACAGCTGGTAGTTTCGAACCGCTGCCAGTAGTGTAAGTGGACCTCCTTCCCTTGTTCCCAGTCTTAGGCATCAAGAAAGCCTCAGCCTTTCATTAAGTATGATGTTGGTGCTGTTGTTGAATAAATGCTGCTGAGTCGGTTCCAACTCATAGTGACCCTGCGGTTGGCAGTTCAATGCTTATACTATAGTGCCACACCAGGACTCTAGTTAGATGCTGTTGTGGTTATTGTTAAGTGCTGTTGAGTTAGTTTCGACTCATAGTGACCCAGTATAGGATTTCCAAGGAGAATCTGGTGGGTTTGAACCACTGACCTTGTGGTTAGCATCTGTTTTGACTTTTCTGAATTTCTTAGTTATCCAGTGCTACTCTAACAGAAATATCACAAACAGAATGCATTTAACAAGCAGAAATTTGTTCTCTCACAGTTTGTTGTTGTTGTTAAGTGACATCAAGTTGGTTTCGATTCATAGCAACCCTGTATAGGGTTTCCAAGAAGCAATTGGTGGATTTGAACTGCCAACCTTGTGGTCCAGTGCTTATCTTTACCAGGAGACTCTGAAGTCCCAGTTCAGAGCTCTGGCTCTACAGAAAGGTCCTGGTCCGCTATGAACACCTGCTGGCCCAGCTTCCCGTAGTGGTCTCCGTGTGTCTTGGTGTCAGTTTTCTCCTGGATTTAGGAGCTTTAACAGCCTAGGGACCCCAGGTCCCAGGGGCACAGTTCACCCCTGGCTCTCCCTTCATGGAGGTAACAGGTCCTTCTCACTCTACTTCGCTTCTCTCTCCTTTTATCTCTTGGAATATAGAAGGTGTTATAGGCCGCACCCCTGGGAAACTTTCCCTGCCATCAGATCAGGGTTGTTGTGGGATTCAGGATGTTGCGTCCCTCCTTTAATGCTCTTACTGGCTTACCACATCAGTTCACATCCTGGGGTGTCAGCACTTAACTGCCAAACCAATGAGCATCATGACACAGCCCATGTTGACAGATATTTGGTGGGGGAACACAACTCAGTCCAGAGAGTTACCATAAATGGTTATTGAAATTTGTCAAATTGTTTTTCTGCGTCTAGTGAGATGATGGTTGTTGTTGTTGGTACTGACTCATAGTGGCCCTATGCACAACAGAACAAACACTGCCTGGTCCTGCATCACACTCACAATCCTTGCGACGCTTGAGTCCATTGATGATGCCACTGTGCCGATCCATTTTGTTGGGGGTCTTCCTCTTTTTTGTTGACCCTCCTCTTTACCAAGCATGATATCCTTATCCAGTGATGGGTCCCTCCTGATAATATGTCCAAAGCATGAGAGACAAAGTCTGGCCATCCTGGCTTCTAAGGAGCCACTCTGGCTGTATTTCCAATACAGATCGGTTTGTTCTTCTGGCAGATTATGGTATTTTTAATATTTTCCAACACCATGACTCAAATGCATCGGTTCTTCTATGGTCTTCCATATTTATTGTTCTTGTCAACAGCAGGGTGGAGAGCAGTATTCTGTTCTGAGACAACAGTAACCAGAAGAGGTGTTTGGGGACAGGAACACCTGTGTGGTGGTGTTTATGTCCTCCTGACTGGTTGTGGGTTGAGAACTTGATTGACGTTTGGCTGTTGTTGGGCAGTAGAGGTAGGGAAAGCTGGTCCTGCTTCATTGAACATCTTTACTGGGGTTCCAGGAATTCATTGAGGTATTGGCTTGCTCAAGCCTCCACTTCCTTGCTGAGAGCAGGCAGCCTGACCCCACGGTCTGAGAACTCCCTGGGTGCTGCAGTGTGGCTGTGAGGAGGCTGCCAAGTGCCTTCCCAGAGGTCCCCACTGGAGTGACCACCACACAGGCTGAGGAGCATCTTGGAAGTAGAACTGTTTTTAAAGAAAGGAGAAACTACATAGAATCTTTTCACCCAATTATCACATAAAACATCAGAAGGTAGAAAGCAATTGGTTCCAACAAAATTCTTGATTGTTAGAAAAATAAGTTTTTTGTTTTTTTCTTTGTCATGTCTTCAGTGTCTTAGTTTTTAACCATTTTTTTACAAGGCCCTTTTTTCTACTCTGTAAATAAGAATAGACGCCGTAAACATTTGTTGAACGTAACCAACCTATTAATAATCTGTTTGCAATGCAGAGCCAAGATTTTCTCCTGCACAACCCCCTGGGAGGACCACAACCTGAGGCGGGAAGCAGCGGGAGACTGACTCTGGGCCCCCAGACGCTCCCCTCCGCGGGACTCAGCACCTCCACCCCTGCCGACGCCACCTGCACCTGCGAGGCCTGCAGCGAGCGCAGGTGTGTGGTCCCTGGATCTGTGCTTATTAGCAAGGGAGGGAGGAAGCTGATTGGTGTTGAGAAATGACACAGTCCTTCCAACTGCTCAGGGAGTCTGACTGTATAGCCTGGTTACTGTGAGGAACAGCCAGATGAATAAGGTAGGTAGGCTTCTCTGCCTGGGAGGAAGTTACACAGGAGAGAATCCTGGGAAGGAGAGAAGACAGACATCGTTAGAATAGTGGATCCATGTAAGTAGACATGAAGGTTAAGTGGAAGAGAGAGAAATGGCTTCTTCCTGGAGTGATGGGGAACCCACAGACAGGTGGGGTGCAGAAATGACTCTGCCCAGCTGGGGATGGTCAGCACCAGCACTCCCGAGTTGAGAAACTTATTGTGCCTGTTCTTGAGATGTGAGGAGGGGCTACAACCTCACTGAGATGCAGGTCTAAGGAGCTGAGTAGACAGGGCTGCTCTAGGAAGCCATCCTTACTGTGGTTACAGAAGATGGAGTTGCAGGCTCCCAAGACTTGAGATGGAAGCGTGTCAGTGAATACGGAATTGAAGTGCATGGGCCAAAGTGACACTTATGTGAATGGTGTGCCGTTCTTCTGTCCTGCTCTAGGGAAGTCTTAGGGCCATGAGAGAAAACAGGTAATGTTCATTTTTCTGTCCTCACTCTTTTTATGTCTTACATTATTTCACAGAGACATTTCGGCAGAGACAGACCGAGAGTCTCAGCAGCTGCAGAACTCCTGGTCTGAAGTACGCTACATGGTGCGCTGCATATACCGGCAAGCCGGGACCCCGCTGGCAGACGACCAAGACCAGTCTCTCGTACCTGACAAAGAGGGCGTGAAGGAACTAGTGGATAGGTACATGTGGCCACCCTGGTGCGGATGGTGGGGCGTCTCACTCGGATAGGAGCTCCTGCCATTATTTGGGGAAAGGACCTCCCTGCTGACTCAGCCCTTGGTGCTGAAATTTTCAAGGTTGTTATCAGACAAACTAGCAAAGCAAACCCTGTGGGCGCAGAGTTTTCAAGGTTTCTAATTCTGGTCCAAAGAATTACTGTCTAAAATTGAAAATGAATGGAAATGTTGACACCATTTCTTAATATCCTTAAGACTGGAGGTTATGCCTACCATTTATTGTTGCATGCTGGGGACCGTGCAAAGGGTTTTCATGATCACGTTTGCGTCTGTTCACCCACAGAGAGGGAAAGGTAGACCTGTCCACTGGTGAGGTGAGGGAGCTGAGGCTTGGTGAGGCCCAGCAGCTAGGGACGGGGCACATAGCACGGGAGTGGAGAGCCACCTGGAGCCAGGCCTGGGTCAGTGCTATCTCACCTGCCATGCCTGTTCTCCTAGGCCAGGCAGCGCGGAACATGGCTGGCTTTGTTCTATAGCAGATACGTTATTTCCAGAAGCAAAAGAGAATTTGAGGTGGGCATAATTCTTTTTTCTCCTAACAGTTTGTATGTGGCTTTATTTGCTTTTTAATTCCTTTTTTTTTTTTTTTAAATATTTCCAGTGAAAACAATAATTTCATGCAGATGTTCAGTGGATAAGTTCTCATATTGTTTTTTTCCCCCACATCTTGAATTCTACATCTTTTGAGGTTATGTTTGTTGTTGTTTGCTGTATAATAGACTTCACCGCTAGGCAGGAGTAGCCATTAGCCTTAGATTACATTACTTTATTGACTAGTGGATGGATTAGCCTTGGGTTACATTGATATATTGCCTAGTAGATGGACTAACCATTTGTTGTTGTTAGGTGCCAATGAGTCGGTACCGAGTATGCACAACAGAACGAAACACTGCCCAATCCTAGGCCAACCTCACAATTGTTGCCACGCTTCAGCCCATTGATGCTACTTTGCCAGTCCATCTCGCTGGGGGTCTTGCTTTTTTTCTCTGACCCTCCTCTTTACCAAACATGATAATCTTCTCCAGCAACTGACGCTACATCGGAAGTATAAGAGACGAAGTTTGGCCATCCTGGCCTCTTAGGAACACTGTAGCTGCACTTCTTCCAGCACAGAGCTATTGGTTCTTTTGGCATCTTCCACTAACACCATAACTCAAATGCATCAATTCCTCTACAGTTTTCCTTATTCACTGTCCAGCTTTCACATACATAGGAGGTTACTGAAAATACCATGGCTTGGGTCAGGCACACCTTAGTCCTCAAGTGGACATCTTTGCTCTTCAATACTTTAAAAAGTTCCTGTGCATCAGATTTGCCCAATGCAATACGTCGTCTGATCTCTTGACTACTGCTTCCGTGAGTGTTGATAGTTGATCCAAGAAGAATGAAGTCCTTGACAACTTCAATCTTTTCTCCATCGATAAGAATGTTGTTTATTGGTCCAGTGGTGAGGATTTTTGTTTTCTTGACATTGAGATGCAATCCATACCAAAGGCTGTGCTCTTTAATCTTCATAAGTAAATGTTTCAAGTCCTCTTCACTTTCAGCGATCAAGGTTGTATCATCTGCATATCGCAGGTTATTAATGAGTCTTCCTCCAATCCTGATGCCACGTTTTTCTTCATAGAACCCAGCTTCTCGGATTATTTGCTCAGTATACCTGTAGAATAAGTGTGGTAAAGAATACAACCCTGTCACACACCTTTCTTAATTTAAACCATTCAGTGTTCCCATGTTCTGTTCGAACAACTGCCTCTTGGTCCATATACAGATTCCTCATGAGCACAGTTTGTCCATAGCTTGTCATGTTGCAGTGTTGTCCATGCATATAATTGAAAGTCATTGCGTAGTCAATAAAGCACAGGTAAACATCTTTCTGTTGTTCTCTGCTTTCAGCCAAGATCCAGCGGACATCAGCAATGATATCTCTCATTCTACATCCTCTTCTGAATCTGGTTTGAACCTCTGGAAGTGCTCTGTCAATGTATGCTTATAGCCGTTTCTGTACTACCTTTAGTAAAACTTTACTCCCATGGGGTATCAAAGAGATTGTCTGATGATTTCTGCATTCTGCTGGCTCACCTCTCTTTGGAATGGGCACAAATACGGATCTCTTCCAATCAGTCGGCCAGTTAGTTGTCTTCCAAATTTCTTGGCAGAGATGAGTGAGTGCCTCCAGTGTCGCCTCACTTTCTTGAAAGATTTCAATTTTTATTCCATCAATTCTTGGTTCCTTGTTCTTTGCCATTTCCTTCAGTGCACCTGGACTTCTTCCTTCAGTTTTATTGGCTCTTGATCATATGTTACTTCTTGAAATGGTTGAACATCAGCCATTTCCTTTTGGTACAGTGACTGTATGTATTCCTTCCATCTTTTTTGTGCTTTCTGCATCATTCAATAATTTGCCCAGAGAATCATTCAATAATGAAAGTCAAGGCTTGAATTTTTTCTTTAGTTCCCCAGCTTGAGAAATGCTGAGCGTGTTCTTCCTTTTTGGTTTTCTGATTCCAGATCTTTGCATATTTCGTTGTAGTGTTTGACTTTGTCTTCCTGAGCTGACTTTTGAGATTTTCTGTTCAGCTCTTGGACCTCCTCATTTCTTCCATTTGCTTTAGCATCTCTGTGCTGGAGAGTAAGTTTCAGTGTCTCTTCTGATACCCATTTTGATCTTTTCCTTCTTTCTTGTCTTCTTAATGACTTTTTGCTTTCTTCCTGTGTGATGTTCTTTCTTGATGTCAACCCACAACTCTTCTGGACTTTGGTCTTTAGTGTTTAATGTATCAAATCTGTTTTTCAGATGATCTCTAAATTGAGGTGGGATATATTCAAGGTCATATTTTGGTTCTCGTGGACTTGTTTTCATTTTTTTCAGTTTCAGTTTGAATTTGCAGATGAGCAATTGGTAAGTCTGTTCCACAGTCTGCCCCTGGCCTCGTTTTGACCTTGTATAGGGTTGGGAAGGGTTGGGACTAACCATTAGCCTTGAGTTGTATTACTGTATTAATTAGTGGATGGATTTGGCCAGTGTGTGAAGAGTGTTCCAGATCCTAGTGTGGTACTGAGAGTTAATGCGCTGGACTGCAAGGTCGGTTTGAACCACAAGGTTGGCATTTGAAGCTCACCAGCCGCTCTTCGGAAACCCTATCCAGGGTCTCTGTGGCTTGGAACCGACTTGACAGCCCTTAACAACAACAACTGATGGTATATGCCTTTCTTTAAAAGTTAAGCTTTTTAATGAATATCCGGAAAATATGTATATAACCGAACCCATTGTGGATGCATAGGAAGAGGCTGAAATCAAGTTTAAAAAAGAAAATAGAGTAACATCACACTAAATGGCACAAGTAGGAGAACATAGGGGTGTGTTCCTCCACCCAAGCTCAACTGAATGGGAAAGAGCAATTGGAATCAATTCTTTTGGAATTCTGGAAACTGAATAGACAAGCAGCTGGGTAGGGCCTGGTAAAGGGGGAGACTGGCTCACTAGTCAGTAAGCTGTGTAGGCAAAGTCACTACCATGGTGCCCAGACCCCATTTCTTAGCCCTGCCGTAATAGAGAGTGGTTGGCTGGTGCCTAGACAGGTGGCGTGGACCTGTCCCCCCAGGATTTGGGGGTGTGGACTTTGCTTGGTGTGGCAGTACAGATATCTGCTGTGGTCTCAGCCTTCTTGTCAGCAGTAGCTTCACCCAGTGGCAGTGGCTTGAAGGACCCATATGCTCTTGTTGTTGTTAAGTGCTGTTGAGCTGGTTCCGACTCATAGGGGCTCTCTATATGGTTTCTGAGGCATAGCTGGTGAGTTTGAACCACCAGTCTTGAAATTAGCAGTTCAGTGTTTATCCTGTAGCACCACACCAGGCCTCTCTTTTTTCTGGTGATATTCATGTTTAATCATGACGATAGGAATGCATGCTTTGCACAAAGAGTTTGGAACAGATGATTAGACCCTTAATCAAGTACCAGTCAAGTAATCCATGAGGAGTTTTAACACAAAAACTCAGACCATCAGTTCTGAACAATAATGTACAAAGACACACACACAAGGAATAATCAGAAAGTACTGCTACTTTGTTCATACATGTTCATACGTGCATGGGTCTTAAGCATGTCCCTGTGATAGGTGATGGCTACAGAGCAGTTCTCTCAGTAAGATACTTGTGTTCGTCTCATTAGGGTGCCTTTTTGTGTTTTGGTAATACATTTTAAGATAAAACTCAAATGAACCTCTTCCCAAATCACTGTAGCTTTGCAGCATGTGTACAGGAATGCTTTGTTGTTGTTGTTGTTAAGTGCCGTCGAGTCGGTTCCGACCCATAGTGACCCTGTACAGGGTTTCTGAGGGTGTAAATCTTTACGGGAATAGAAAGCCTCATCTTTCTCCCGTGGAGCAGCTGGTAGTTTCGAACCGCTGACCTTAAGGTTCGCAGCCCAATTTGTAACCACTACGACAGGAATGCTACCCCACATAAAACAATGCTCTAAGGAAGGTTAGGGAGAGCTCAGAGTGAGCCAAGAGAGGGAAGACTGTCAGCTTTAATGAATGAAGAAACTGTGGCTGGAGTCAAAAAACAGATGATGTTACCACTGATGGGGTAGTGACTGAAGTTGGGATCTCATGTGGTTTGGCAGTTTTCAATTTCAAGCAGAAAATAGCAAGACTTCAGCAAGCTGTTGGATTGATGGGAGCCAGCAGCATTTTACACAGATCAGCTAGCTCAAAGAGGTGATCAGTCTTTTAAGCCAGACTGAAGCTAATGAGGACAATTTTGTGGAACTGTTTGTAACCCAGGGACAGATCTTAGATGTACCAATATAATCCAGAGAGCAAGATCCATTGAGAACAATGGCTTCTGAGACAATCGGTTGGGTTGGGTCGGTTCAATTCAAGGCAGAGAGGTTCGATTAGAAGGTTTTGGTGACCGCTTTTAGGAATTCCAAAGGCGTT